GGAAGAGTCTCGCGCAGCGCACGCAGACCATGCTGCACCAGCTCATTCAGACTACCTGAAAACAAGAGCACCATCGTCATCTGAACTCACGGAGAGCGTCTTTACGGATGAGATTATACAAGCTTCTCTGTGTAAAAGTATGCTTAATTGTTTTGAACTCGTACTGAACAGAAATTGTACTGACTTGTGGTATACTTCAAATCTTAAAAAGTATATATTATTTTTTTTGTTAATTTAACTGCAAATAATATAGTAGGCAACACTTTATTTTAAGGTGTCCTTGTTACACAGTACGTGTACTTACTATTATAATAACAATTAATTATGCATAATTACATGCAAGTAACCCTAAGCCAAACCCAAATCCTAACCATATAGTAAGTACATGTAGTTAACTAATATTGCTCAGTACTTAAATGCATAATTACACTGTAACAAGGACACCTTAAAATAAAGTGTAACCATATAATATTAATGAAATAAAAGGCCACTTAAGTGTACTTAAAGAGAGACACTTTCAGGCCCCACTTTATATTAGTGTAATTATAGATGTAAATCTAGAAATTAATTACAGCTGGAATTACAAGCAGGGATTTTTATAAGTACAATGTAAACACATGCATCTACACAATAACTGCACTGTATCAGTGATTAATTTAAATATCAGTACAGAGTAGTCGACGCTTAATATAGAGCGAGTCATGACTGTGTTTCTTAACACACTGAAGTACACTTTAAGAAAAGTGCACTTCTTAATACCTTTAAAAGTTTTACTTAAAAAAAAAATAATTATGTTTTAATCATCTTTTGCTCTGCTTATTTGTATGTGTTAACATAAAGCTCATGCAAAGAACTTGGCTACTATATTTAAAGTTGATATATTTTAAATGTACTAAATTGCAACTTTATCATTACAAATGTGTAATTACGAATATATTTAAATAAATGACACGTTTCTGTATAAAAGACAAAGTATATTTTAGTTTACCATAAATACTTATTTAACAAACTTATAAACATATTTAAAAGAAAGTGAAGATGTACGCAAGTCCTAATTCTGTTCACACACATTTTATAAATATAGTATATTATGTTAAAGTATATTAATACTTATTTAGTATACAGTATATGACTCAGTACTCTTTTTGAAAGTATACTAGAGTCTCATTTTTCACAAGGATACAAACGGCCCTGCAGTGTGACAAATGTATTTTTAAAAGTACAAATATGCATTAGCAAAATTAGCATTGTCCTAAAAACTGCCAGCATGATACTACTAAAAATGAGAAAAACACTGTTTAGAATAGTTTTAAATGCAGTTTAATGTGCCATCTACTGGTTTATATGATGTAAAGTGTTTAATCTCAATAACATACAGTCCAAGAAGGCCTCCATGTGTCTCTCCAGGTATGTGCGGGCCGACTGCGAGCGAGCGCCGATCGACATGGCTTTACAGTCAAAGTAGTTGGCTGAGGGGCACGTCTGGAAGATGTGCGGCCCCATGTCCTGAAATTCACAAAAACAGCAAGAATTCATGACTGAACATGTCTGGCTCACACAAGCACGTCGATCTCTGTACTCACATCATATCCTGCGATCAGCAGCCCCACTCCATAGGGCCGTCTGCCGTAGCGCTGCGTGGGAATCTGAGTTTCTGTGGGAACACGCGGTCAAGAAACATGCAGACTAGTCTTAAGATACTTCAACTGAACAGTAAATGCAGTGACGAGATACAAAAAGTGACTTCTGCAGCTCTCCAGAGCGACAAGCTAAAAGGATACTGCTTCCAATGAGCGAGACCAGTCTAGACACAGGAAGAGGTCTATCGAAGACGAACCTGGAGTCCAGACACTCCTGCCGCATGAAGTTGCTTTTCAGAAAGAGAGAGGCAGTGAGATACTGATGACAGAAGACTTTGATGGAAGAGCACAGGAGACTTCCAAGAACATCCCAGATCGGAATTTAACACGGATGAAAACAAGGCTGTGAGGGACACACTTTTTGTCAGTACTTTGTTAAGCAACAGTACAATCCATTGGACGGATGTACTTCAGTCCTCACTAGGGCTGTCAAAATGGCTGAAAAACTAAATTCGAATTTTGTATTTAAATATGATCAAAATTCAAATTATATTCGAATTTAAAATGCATAATTTCAGTTAGGATGAAGAAAAGCTTTTGGCTTCTCTCCTGAGGCCACAAGAGGGCGCATCGAGCAAAATATTACTAATGCACGTTTATTCAAAGCATGAGATAACGTGACTATCTGTTTAAATTCGACGAATATTCGAAATTCGATTTTTTTTTTGTCAGCCCTAGTCCTCACAACCTAGTTTTCATTCCTGTCAGAAATTAAATATGCCGCTAGCGTAAGATCTATAGTGCCTGATCGTTACAGATGTTGAAACGCTGGCTTCCCATTTACCAGAGGAGTCTGGCATCTGCCGTCAGTCCTGCAATGGAAATGCCCACGTGATTGTCAACATGCAGGATCTTCTTCTGATGGGCGGCCAGTTCAGACTGAGCTCTCTACAAACAAACACAGTCAACAGGGTTTTCTGAAGGTGTTATGGGTGGTTGGGCTTTGCTATGTGATTGTTAAGGTCTTCAGATCGGTCATTGCTTTACTGCTAAAGCTCTCCTGAGCCAGACACATGGTTCGAGGGATCAATGATGTGGTGTAACAGAGTGTAGTGTACTTGTGCAAGTACCTTGAGGGCCACGAGAACAGCGTGAGTGCGTGATTTGAGGCCGACGGTGGCTGAACCCTGCTTCACTGCCTCCATCGCATACTCGATCTGATGAATGCGACCCTGAACACAAACCCCACAGATAAACAACACAACACACACGAGTGCTAGACATTTAAAGAGTGAATCATGAAATCACCTGAGGACTCCACACGGTCACATCGTTGTCATACTGGTTCCGAAACTGAAAAATAAATCGATGAAAATAAACAAGAGCATAATGATTGAAATGGTGTAACAACATCAGGTAGAGCGACACTCAAATTAACTCTTACTATCCATTCGTTCAGTGCAGTGAATCTCATCAAGACATGCTCAGACCGTTCTTGAGAAAAAGAAGTGTGCTTCAGTGTACTCAATGTGTACTTAAAATCTTAAAACTATATTTAAAAAAAACACCGTACTTACGATAATATATTATTGAAATAAAAGGCCACTTAAGTGTACACTTTCATGACTACGCTCCTTATCTACACTTGTAAAAAGTGCACTTTGTCAGATAACGTCTAATTAAAAGTTTATTGAAAGTACATTTTAAATAATTGTTTGAATAATCTTTTGTCATACTTTAAAGAATTACATTTTTTACAATTACAATTAAAGTTTTTTATTCAATGTTTTATTCAAATAAAGTATTTTATTCAAACTTACGCTTTTAAAAGCAATAAATTGCAAATTCATTATTAAAAACATGTGATTATACATGTGTTTAAATACATGACATATATATAAATTACATTGAAGTATATTTTAGTTTATCATTAATGCTTGTCAGTACATTAAACGTATGCTAATGAGCACTTTTTTTCCACAAGGACATATTTCACCCTAAAAATCAAAAGTAAAACATTAAAGTTTAAGAGAGAAAAAAAGCCTATTTTGGGCAAAATGTTTATTACTGTAACGCACAAACTCTCATGAAATAATTAGCGGGTCAATCCATCCGCTCCGGACACGATAAACCCGACAATGATTTTTTATTTTCGCAGTTATGGAATATGTGCCGTATATTCCTCTACAGTTTTATGAGATTGATTTGAAGCCTCTTGGTGAGTTTACGAACACCACAGATGTCTTTGGGTTAAATGTGTCTTTCTGTGCGTCTTGTAGCTTCTGGTGTCTGAAAGAACGAAATCGAAAGCTGCGGCCTCATTCAAGAGCCACACAGAGAATCGGTTTAATCGCCGAAAAGTAAAAAAAACTACCACTATTATCTAGACAAACACAAGTAAATTTACAAACAGCAGTATATAAACCGTACAGACTGATGTTTATTGCTCACTGTGTGAGTTTCTGTATCATGCCGCGAGCATTCCGCTTACTCACGCTCATCATTCACTCGCATACACTCATAACACCATACACATCTCCACACTCGCACTGCATAAGCTCGAGTTCTAGAAACTCATAACATATACTATCCACCAGAAGACTGCGCGCAAGTTCGAACGTAATATATGATCATTTCTCACCATATTTGCTATAAACCAGGCGACTATCCTCTGAGAGCGCGATGATTCAGCTCGATTTGTTTCCTCAGTTCAGAAAGACGGAACTAATCGAGCACAGAGTGCGCTTTCTGCGTGTTCTTTATCTGCAGCGCCATCCACTGTCAAAAAAAGATGTAAACATTTAGCATTCATGAATTTAATAACAATTTACTTGAACCCTGTATATATAATAGGATATCATATAGGATAGGATAGGACAATAGGATTCTTGTAATGGTCTTTATAATGAATTGTATGATCTCACAAATATATATATATATTTTTTTTAGGATTTTCTTATCAAACTGTATCACAATGTTACATTGATTTAGAGTCATAATGAAAGAATACATACACTTCAACAACATGAGTCCTAAAGAAACACAGACACATGAAAGACATGACATTACCTCTGCCAGCCTTCCCAAAACACAACAAAAGGTCCAGGTGGGAGGAGGTGATAGTGGATCCCAGGAGAAGGGAAGGAGAGCTAGGACCACTGAGCGGGAGAGGAGTAGGAGACCACCATGATGGAGAAGACCAAGGCTAAGCTGGAGGAGGTGGAGTCCAAGGCAGAGCCAGAAGAACAGAGGACAACTGTGAAGCCGGCTGGACTCAGGCGGAACCAAAGGAGTGGAGGACCAAGGTGAAGCTGAAAGGCTCAGATGTTCACGGTTGAGCCATGGAGTTGACAGACTTGGTCTAGAGACCTCTGTGGAGCCAGAAGGATGATGGTCCACGGAGTCATGGCTGTGGAGTCAGAGGGTTGGGATTCTTAAGAGGCCACAACTCAAAAATGCATTTTAATTTAAGTGCTCCATTCACACATGCTCAAGTCAGCAGCTCATCAGTTCTTTGGTCCGAACTGTTTCCCCAGTTCAGTGTACTGGAGCGTTGAATGAGAAAAACTGGCATCAGATACACCAGTATACTGGATCATTTCGAGCCAGAGTGACTGTCACGCACATCTGAAAGGCAAGGCAAGCTTATGTATTTAGCACATTTCATACACAGTGGTAATTTAAAAGTGCTTTACAAAAAGAGGACTAAAAAAGAAGTAATCACAAAAAAAAAGAAAAAAAAAAATCATAATCATTAGAAGAAATTTGTAAAAAAAATTATTATAAAAATAACCAAATTAGCTCAAATTAAATAAAAAATACACATTAGAAGGACATAAAAAGAAGAAAGAACAGTGCAGTGCAATCGGTGCAGCACAGAAACAGTGTTTAATCAGGAAATGCAGTCAGACAGATCAATCTGCTGTTTCCTTTCAGTAGCCTACAGTAAAGTAAAAAAGAGATTTTAGTGTCATAAAACAAAACAGTTGTCAATTACAAAAAAAATATTATATTTAATTTAAAGTGTTTTTAAGTCACTGTTTGTAAACAACATTGGCACAATCATCAGAGACCAGTCAAAAGTAGTAATTTGTGAGTGGTTCACACCATGTGATAATAATTAAGGTAGCCTAATATTGTGTGTTTCTATGGTGTCACTATCAACTGCAAAATGAATCTGCAGTGGTCAGGTGGTACAGCGATCATGTTGTGGTACCAATAGGTGCGTTCGACTTCATGCAGCGCAGACCGAAGCAGTGCGTGCCGGTTCTTCTTCTTCTTTGTTTAATTAACCAGAACAAAATATACAACAGTAATGTACAAGAGTGTGCAAACCAATTATTCAGTAATCAACAACTGTATATTCGTGGAAAATATTACAAGTCTTGTTTGCTTTTTTATTAACAGTGTTCTCCAAACTGGTGCAGCAGTCCTTAAGTCTCCTGAAGAAAATGTATGAAATTGGGCTTGGACCTTGACTTTCTTCTTATGTATGTGAAATTTTCCCAAAATGATAAAAAGATGTACAAGAAAAGTAAAGTTATTATTATTACGTTCACTGGAATAATACATACATATCAAAATTATTTAACTTGAATGTAATATTTGTTTTCCTTCTAATTACATTTTCCATATCCACCCAAAAAAAATAAAAATAACAAATAAATATCCTTGTGTAGACACAATTACAAAATAGATGGATAATATAGACTCCTTTTCAATTGAGCAAACAAATCACAGGAGTAATCAATATCCATATTAAATCTCTCTAACACACTTTTAGCTGCGTATACCATGAAACAAATTCTAAATACACTGGTCCACAATAAGCTTTTGACCAGTATCACCTGTTATAATTTTCCTAGATTTATTAGTACAACTGTGTTTAAAGGGATCATATTATGCTCTTTTACAAAGTCTTGATTTTGTTTTGGGGGTGGTCTCCGACATAGTGATAACACTCGTTGCCTTCTCTAGTGCAGCTCAACCAGGTCTCATCCCTTTCATCAATATTTGTGATATCACAAATCCCGGAAAATATGCATTGTAGTCCAAACGAGTCATTCGTTGTAGTTTTTGAAAAGTGATTTCTGTTAAATAAAATATCTCCTTTTGAAGTGGACTTTGAGCTTTGTAACTTTGCAGATCTTTTTTATGCTCAAACAGCAACATTACAGACTAACTAAAGCTGAAAAAGTGAAAAAGCATAATAGGACCCCTTTAAGATTATCAGCGTCTCCTAGGAACAGGCTGTCTTTAACATCTATTGCCTCAGAAGAATCACTTCCATAAGCTCTTACAAATTGTATTACTTGCTGGGGTATGGCGTCAAATACGACTGCATACTCTTTTGGCGTAACTGCGCTCTAAAAATGCTTAAAAACAAACAACCCAATTTGGGTTATTTTGCCAACCCAGCGCTGGGTCAAATATGGACAAACACAGCTGGTTTGCCTTAAATGTTTGACCCAACACGCTGGGTTGTTTGAAAATGACTATTGCTGGCTTAAAATAAATCAAAAATAAATTGAAATTTAAACACACACACACACACACACAGAGAGAGAGAGAGCTACTAGAGGCAACAGTAATAAGCAAAGGTGAAAATGTATTAATAAGCAAAAAAGCCCATGTACAAAAATATGACAAATTGAATACAGCATCATTTTCAATATTACATGCATTTAAACTCGTTTATCAAGCATTTTAGAAATAAAAATATAACAGTTGTAAGTAACATGTTAATTCAAGTGTATTAAACCGTTCTCTGTTATAATTTTTAACCCGAAAATGACTGATTCTCGTGCCGGTGTCTCCGAAATCTGAGACGGCGATGGGCTGCTGTTCTCCATCTGTCAACACTCCTGTTCTTCCCGGTGTAACGGCCACTAGAGTATTTGCGGTAGTTTTGTGGCCGAGGGATAACTGCGCATGTGCAGTGTGTCTGTACGTTATGAAACGGTGAAGAGATAATCTGCTCTACCTCTACCGACCTTTGTCTGACTTTATTTTATTCCCTCCTTTTCTGTGTGTGACCGGAGTTGGATGCTTACTTGTGTACATTTTTCCTCACTCGATCCCCATGTATCATGTGGACGAGTGTGTTGGCGCTTGAGGCCTTTTTTTTTTAAACCTGGGGGAAAATATGCCATTTTATCGTCTCCCGTGAATTATTCTCCTCCAGCACCACACAATCTTCCTATCTGGGCTATTGAACATTTGAACTCGGTGTTACGTTACACCGGGAGTCTTCTCCCGCCACCCTCCCGTAATTTGAATTGCCCAAACCTCCTTATTAGTGATGTCCGGATCGCGAACGAATCGTTCGAATTAAACCGGTTCTTCTTAGTGAACCGGTTGAACCAGTTCACCAAATCGGATTGAAAAGGTTCGCGTCTCCAGTAAGCATTAATCCACAAATTACTTAAGTTATTAACTTTTTTTACGTGGCTGACACTCCCTCTGAGTCGAAATAAACCAATATCCCGGAGTAATTCATTTACTGAAACAGTACACTGTCTGAACTGCTGTGAAGAGAGAACTGAAGATGAACACGAGCAGAGCAGCAAGTGTGCAGCCAGCAGTGTTGCCAATTTCTTCTTCTTCTTTGGAATTTTTTGGCGTATTCCGCACCATAGGCACATACCGCCACCAACTGTTTCTAATCATACATGGATGATAGTCCCGCCTCTATTCATATTTTATTATTCATATTTTTTTTATTGTTAATTTTATTTCGGGCTCACCCCAGCTGTATTTCTGGCTGCTGCGAGTTCAGCTCCCATGCCAAAAAACCCAGCTTGTGTGTTCCCCTATTCCTTTGCTTTATTTATTTAACTATCAAATTCGTTTATTTAATCCTTTTTCTACTATATATTCCATTACTATTCTTTGATTACTACCTCCTCTTAATCCTTTTCCTAATATCCAATTTATCTTCTTTTTTTCTTTATTATTACCATTTAGGTTCGTTATCATTTTAATTCTCTCTATATTATATTTCAGACATTTTAATATTATATGTTCAACAGTTTCTATTACCCCACAAATAGCACATTTACCTGTAATATGTTTACCTATTTTGTATAGTGATGCATTTAGTCCTGTGTGCCCAAATTGTAATCTATTTAAAATCACCTCATCTTTCCTACATCTTCCAAAATTGTATACTTCTTTAACTGATTAATTAATTTTATAATAAAACCTTCCTGTATCAGCTATGTCCCACTTATTCTGCCACTCTTTTTGAATATTTGATTTTATAATTGATTTAATTTCTCCTCTTCCTAATGGGACTTTAATCTCGATATCATTTTTTTGGGTTGCCTTTTTTGCTAACTTATCTGCCATTTAATTTCCATTGATTCCTGTGTGAGCCGGAACCCAACAAAATTTGACATCTATTCTCATGCTATTTAGAGATTTTAATGTCATACATATATCATTTAAAATGTCTTCTCTAATGGATTTATATGAAACCAAACTATTTAGCGCTGACATAGAGTCTGAACATATAATAACTCTATCTGGTCTAACATCTTCTATCCACTGTAATGCAACCATTATTGCAACTAATTCTACTGTATATATTGCTAAATTATTTGATAATCTTTTGAATATGCTTATTTCGAATTCTGGAATAAATATTCCTATATGAAAAATAATTAGATTGTATGTATTTCTCTATATATACTTTAGTATTTTTTTCATGTATTTCTTTGTTGCCAACTTCTTTCAATGG